TTTTTAATGTTGTTCTATAATCAATTCAAGAAAATAAGCTTTTTTCCCAACATATTTGGAAAAAAATTTTAGTCCATGGTCACAAACCTCTCCTTATGTGCCACCCCTCCACTTTCTATCTGCCCACACTGCCTAGCTGTAGTCAGGACTCGTGTTCCTCCAACACAAGACCCTCTGTGGTTGTCTTTCATGCTATTTCGTTCAATGTGCACAAGACCTCTGTGAGGCGGTGTTATTCACCTCACTCTTCACATGGCAAAACAGACTGGCAGGACTTAGTAACCTGCCTAAGGACTTAGCCAGCTGTGGGGAGCTTGTATTTGCATCCGGGGTTTTGTTACTCCAAAACTTAAATGTTCTTACCTCTCTTCCACGTAATTCACACGTATCAGGTAATAAAGGAAAGATAAGGCATGTAATCACTGGACATTTCCTCTTTCGTCAAGGCTTCGTAATTCTCAGCAGCTCTGTGGAATTCAGCTCTAGGTTTGAACAACCCTGAACTGACTCTTAACTACCCAACTCTTTTTTTTTTTTAATCTTTCTATTGGTAGGAGGTAGAAGTAAGTTTTAGGGAAGAAATAATTATTTCCACAGACAAAACCATGGGTCGTGTATTTATATTAAATATATCTAAAAGGAAGTGTGTCCAAAATGCAATTTGAGCAGGAAGCTAACGTTTGTGTAGGGCAGGTCATCAAAATATCTTTGCATTTAGTCTAGCAGCACACCATACGCTAGCATGTAGGTGATATGGACATTAATCATAAGTCTGATTAGTTTTAATTGCAGGAATAGTTGATATTCCCTCCTACAATTCAGATTAGGAAAATATAGACAAAAGAAAATCATAATTCAAATAATGTGTCATTTGAGTTTTTTCATATACATTCACAAATTACAACGCTTAATACATTTCTGCAAAAGAAAACCTCAATGATCATGTAAAATTTTCTTTGATAAATTATTTGCATTTATGGTCTTATATACAAGAAAACAGAAAAGCCAGAGGACCTGAATAACAAGAAAACCACACCCCAAGGTGAACTTCTGATAAAGAAAAACTTTGTTTCCCGGGTCTTGAGGTGAAGGGAATGGTGTCCTTCACACACAAAACTTCCTGGAATTTCCCTGAAACCAGGAAATGCCGTGGTAGAGCCAACTTATACAATTTCAATGATCAGTTTCCTTAGGCGAGTGAGAAAGTCCATTTAGTCGTTCCTTCATTCAACAATATTATTGAGCACCGACAGTGTACCAGAAAACACACCAGGAACTATGGAAGAACAAAGTGGGGATCAGCACTAGTTGGGGCAAACCAGGTGGGCTCATAGCCTCCTGCAGGTCACAGAAAAAAACAGACCATGTTACTCTGTGACTTTCTCCTAAAGAACATGAGGCTATTCAGATAGTATCTGTTTCCCAGGGTGTGTTTAGGTAACACTGCTCACTGGAGATTTTATAGATGAGAGAGTGGACGTGTAAAACAAAGTGACTTAGCTACTCACCAGGAAAACCAAGACTAGATTCACAGCTTCCGATTTAGTGGGTCAGGATTTAGAAAAAAAATCAAATGCATATTCTTCACTCAAAACGGCTATTTTTGCAAATGCTGTTACATGTAGATTAATTTCCAAAATGAAGTCAAAGTTAAATTGATTGAGCACAATGGATGTAAAAGAATGCACACTGAATATATACAATTCACAATCGCTGCTCATTATTCAACCACAAAACAGATGAGCTTGTACAGACATCCTGTTGAAGGTACATGTATGTATTTTAAAGTAGAGGAGGTGGGCCAAAAAAGTGTCCATAATTACATGAATGCACTCTGTCCTCAGGGTAACTCTAGGAGGCGAGGGGGGAAAAGTAATTTTTTCATTCAAAATTGTTCAAGATCCCTTTTTTAAATTAAAAAATCCTCAATGGAGCAGCATATGACCTGGAATGAGACTAGAAAGTACTCATTTTCCAGGTTCAGATGAAAGGCTTTAAAAGCTGCCTTATGTGAAGTGATTTTACTAATGATATAAACCATCCTATTCTTTACCAAACACTCCTTAGTTGGGGTCTCTACTGCACCCATGCATTTCACCATTTTAAAAAATACATGGCAGTGCTGCCCACCAATAGCATTGACTTTTCTAAATGTGCCTGATAGATCAAGGAAGACTTTTTAAAACTATAGTTGGTACACAATATTGTACTAGTTTCAGGTGCACAATATCATGATTCAACATTTATATACCTTGCAATGTGACCACCACACTAAGTCTCATAAACATCTGTCACCATGCATGCAAACTTATCACAGTATTATTCACTATATTCCCGTCACCTTTTTCACCCATCCCCCCAGCCTCCGTCCCTCTGGCAGCCATCAGTTTGATCTCTGATTCTATGAGTTTGTTTTTGTTTTGTTTTTTTAAAGTCTACCTATAAGTGAAACCATATGGTATTTGTCTTCCTCTGTCTTATTACACTCATTGCAATACCCTTAGGTCCATCCGTGTTATTGCAAATGGAAAGATTTCATTCTTTTTTTATTACTGAGCAAAATTCTACTGTATATATACCACATCTTCATCTAATTGTCTATTGATAGAAACCTAGGTTGCTTCATATCATGGCTATTGTAAATAGTACTGCAATGAACATAGGAAATACATATACCTTTTTGAATTAGTGTTTTCATATCTTCAGATAAATACCCAGAAATGAAATTTCTGGGTCAGATGGTAGACCTATTTTTAGTTTTTTGAGGAATCTCCATTTGTTTTCCATAGAGGCTGCACCAATATGCAGTCCCACCAGCAGTACACGAGGGTTCCCTTTCCTCCATATCCTTACCAACACTTGTTATTTGTCGACTTTTTGATAATAGCCATCCTGTATGAAGTGATATCTCACTGTGGTTTTGATTTGCATTTTCCTGATGATTAGTGATGTGGAACATCTTTTCATATGTCTGTTGGCCACCTTTATGACTTCTTCGAAGAATGTTTCTTCATGTCCTCTGCCCATTTTTTTGTAGATCAAGGAAGACTTGAAACCTCTGATTTTAGAGCTGAAAAATTAGATTTTAAGCTCCGGCAGAGCCCCGGGGATGCCTGGAGCATTAGTTTATGAACAAAAATGTTCTAACGTTACATCTTGAAAAAAATGGATTTAAGTTGAAAGTAAGGCCAGTCTAGAAAAATAGATCTGTTTTGAAAATGCCTCAGATACTTTTAGGTATCCAGTAATACTGTGATTTGTGAGCATAACTTGTTCTGGAAGCAAACTACTTATATTGCAAGACATCGCTCATTTACCACGTTAAAATGTATTAGAAATATTTGTTCGTCTTGCAGAACATTCGCAAACCACATTACTCACAATCCAAGGTTTTACTGTACTTTCTAGCATCTGACATCAGACAAAAAGGTCACAGAATCTGGGACAATTTCATCAGTCTGCCACCAACCCAGTGCCATCATGGGCACGTCGCAAACTCTTGGCTCCTTGGCGTCTTCCCTACATAATTTCTGAATCAGGTTAGGTTATCCTAAGGTCTCTTTTCATTTCCAACATTCAAATTTTTAAATACTTCTTCCTAATATTTACACTATATCTTTATTGCTTTAAATTTACTATCCTCTCATCTTGTATTTAGTGGGAATAAAAACAGCCACTCATAATCATCAAAACATATCATGATGACATGTATGCATAATCCAAAACAAGGCTATAAAACTTCTTTAATGTTTTGGAGCTGTTTATCATGTGCTAATTATTTTGCTAAGCATTCACAATAATTCATTTGCTCACTGTCCTAAAAGCAGAAAGCTGTAAGTCTGGGATTAAATCCAGTTGACTCTAGATCTAATGACCCCTGAGATGCTGCTTATCTGTAGTTGAATCATAATAATCTGTGGGTGATGGAGATTGTGGGGCTGTGGGAGCCACAGCTGGATCACATGTGGGGACCCTATACCACCTGCTATATCCTGCCACTGTCTCCCATGTCCCACTGTGGTGGGCCGCGATTACTGGCACAGTGTCACATGCCCTCACTCTCAGGAGTATTTTTTAGTCAGGAGTGGGGTGGAGGGAAAAGGGAGAAAGCCACAATATAAACATATGTAAAAATCACACAAAAGCCTTCAAGTACACGTCATAATGATTCATTTGAATTTTGCATGCAGTGTGGGAAGCTTTGCTTTCTCCTTTTTTTCCGAGTAAAAACTCTGATTTCCCATGCTAACCATAATGCTACAGTACTGTAAACATTTACATATTGTCAATTTAAACAATGCACATGCTCTATCCCATTCACTGAAAAGTAAACAATTACAAAAGAGGCCAAGGCGGGACCACTGTGAAAGCCATAACATTTATTGAAGAACGGACATATGTTTGCAAATCACAGCGCTGCTAGGGCAAACATCCCATGGTTCATAATGCTGTTCCAATTAGACTTTTCATAGTGCCTTCTCATACAGTCTCTTTGTAAAACAATAACTAAAAGGAAAGAAAAGGTGTCAATTGCAATTACATTGACAAAACCAAACAACAGCTTTCACTTAGAATGACTCTGTGCTTGGCTACATGGAAGTACATGTGCTGGCTTTTCAGGCCCAAGCTCACATTTCTGTATGGGCAGAACTTTTCAATGAATAATGGCTTTGCTAATCCAGATAGTATCTCAGAATATTGTCAAGCTTGGGGAATAGGGTGACAACTGCAATGAACAACAGAATTTCTAACATTTGCCCCAATCACTACACCACCTTGCCCTTAACCCATGCATTACAGTGCTTCATTTTTAGAATTGTAAGGGAAAATTCATCTGACAAAGGGCATGATACAGAATACATCTGGATAACATCTTTATCATATTTAATGTTTAAAAGTTGACTTCTTTTATTCCAGTGGAAGAAATTTTGGCCAAATTGTCGAAAAAAAACCGAAAAAAACTAACAGCTCTTAACCTCCATCTTCCTTAAAAAGTTATCTTTTTTTTTTTTTTAAGTCAGTCAAGAACGGGTGTGGGGGGAGACAATGTTATAAAAAGTTATCTTTTAACAACAATAAAAAATAAAGCTTCATTTCCAGGAATTTAAACAATTGAAAAGAACATAACTATTTTGATAAGTAAAAAAAAAGTTATGTTGTTCATTTTTCTGAACTACCATTCTTTTTTTTTCTTTTGCCTTTTATGAAAATATCTAAAATAGTGATCTCAAATAGAAAGTTATTTGATCTTATCTCCTTAGAGATTAATAATATAAAGCCAAAGAGGATTTTCTAATCAAAGAATTAGACAGTGTAAAACATCTGATGTAGGAAGATCTAATTGATGACCATTGAGGCTGCTGTAACAGCAAAATTAGAAAATTCTAAAAGAGAAAAAAAGCCTAGATGATTTGCTTTGCTCTGTACAACTTATTTTGTTTAATTTAATACAGCATCTATTACGGCTTTATTCTAAGCAGGGTTGTCAGCTGGTCTCTTCTAAGGGTTCCTTATTACTTGGTCCTTGATGTGAAAGGAACACTAGCAACTTAAGGTCAGGCTTCTGCTAATCCTTGTATATGTGTTTGGATATTCTATTCTATTCTTTATTCCTTATTTAAGGAAATTCAGAACTCTTCCACCTGCTTGAACATGATATTTTGACACTTAATATTACATTTAAAAGTTATATAAACCAAATATTTTGTCCAAGAATTTAATTTTCTTTGACTTCTCTTTCTGTTATTCCTCAAGGGACAGGCAAGGGGCCTGTTCGCAGTACTCAGACCCTTCACAGAGAACCATCACAGTTTCCTGGTAGTTGGTTCCCAGTCACTGGTCCCTCTGGCTTCTCTTCACATAGAAGACATTGCTGATTCACCATCATCTGCTTTGTATTTTGGCTGGATTTTACCCCAGAAGCAGCTATGGTGGAATGCCCCTTTGTACTCCTAATTTGTAAACCAAGTCATAAAATCAGAGAAAAATGCCCATATGCCACTCGTGAATTTGCACACCAAATTGATGAAACTAAAGCTATTATAAAATGAGCAATGTTAGAGAAACACCTACATATGTGTCTGCATGACTATTTGAAAAGTGTTCGCCTTACAAATTTGCTAATTATTTTTAAAAATCGTTTTCATTCAATCAATAAACATTTCCTGAACTCCTACCGTGAGTGGCCACTGCAACTTTTTTTTAATCTTTTCTAAAAGAAAGCAAAAGGGGCTTATTCATTGGGTTTCAGGCAGCAATAAGAACATACCAGTTTATGCTTGCGTTTTCTCGTCCGTTTTAAAATAATCTCTTTCATATGACAGGAAATAAAGAAGGTAACTGACAGTAAAGAAGGGAAGGGAGAGAGGCACTCATCACCTACTATGTGCCAAGCTCTGGGCCTGTGTGGGTATAGGTTACAGAACTCTTAAGCCTCTTAAGAACTATAGGAGGTATCTATTTTTCCCATCTTATGGACAAGGATAAAAGCTTTGATGAATTTAATAATTGTTAAAGATCATTCCCATGCTACACTATAGCTTATATTCTTAACAGATTCACCACAGGAAAAGTCTATCAACATGACTCTAGCATTTGAACTAAGATCTGAGGACCTCCAAAGTAAAAACTCAATGCTTATTGTGTTTGTTGTTGATTTCACAACACTAAAACACGTATTCTATGTTGCTGTAACGTCCTTTGTGATTATTCATTTCTATGCCAAGAAATACTGTGAATGACATCTTTCTTTTCTCAACCACCCCCTCCCTCCAAATTTTGTTTTAAAATGAACTGAACAAAATTTTGCTACAATCCTCCAAATTCCTCAATATTACAAAATAGAAGTCTGTAATTAATATCTCTTGAGGTTCTGGAAAATATAAACCTAGATAATCCTCTAGTTTTGAAATGGTATTTATTCCTCAGCTACTTCCTTTACTTTAAAAAAAAATTAAGGATATCATGAATGTTAGATAAAACAAACAAACAAACAAAACACAGTGACCAAACTACTCTTCTTAAGAGTAATTATCTTCAGATACAATTCATGGTAAGACTACTTTATTTTTCTTATATTCCAACTCTTACCTTATCTTGTTTTAATGCAAAGGAATTAATGGGCTTCCTTTAATACTTCTCTGCTTATTTTAAAGTTTTCTTCCTCTAGTTTTAAGTAAGAACTCTTTAAAATCCATCAGCTATTTCACCATTCTAGATTGTGACTTCTAATTTAGGTAGAGGATTGTTAGTTTCGAATTCCAATAGCAGATACATAGAGAAGATTTAAATTTGGCAAGATAATTGAAGTCGGACATTACACAAATGGAAAATAAAACCTGAAATGACCAAAGAGTCCCCTTCTTGGTTGTAGTAGATTGCATCATAATGCCCATGGTGAAAATAATAGATTTTTCAGTAATTGGGTCCTTTCTAGCAACAGTTCAACAAATGCATGTAAATGTACATCTGTGAAATAAATCTGCCACAGATGCTGCACCTGGAAATGAGGTCTCTAACAGGAAGCCATTTATTATCATAATAAATTATGTCTGTAATCTACACAGACCTGCCCCCATGCACTCCTTAAAAAAAAATCTAGCATGAAAATTTTAAAGACTCTATTTCACCTGCAAAAAAAAAAAACACAAGAAGAAGAGGGGTTGATTGGAGTATAATCCTTAAGAAACCACCAGCTATCCTAGTTTAAAGAACAACTTGTACATGCTTTGAGAGCTTAATTTCCTTGCATTTGTATTTAAGAGTCAGGTTGATTTTACCCAGTGTCTACATTAATCTCTAGAAGTAGCTAAACCATGTAAACCTTAGATTTTTAAAACAGTATTGTGATAAAATCGCCCCTGGAGACCTTAACTAACTACCTACCCATTTCTAGGGACCAGTATACACCAGGAAGAAATTAATGTAAATTTCTTTCCCTTAGACAGTTTCTAACGCTTGAGCATCACAAAGCGATGTAAACTCACATCTCTTATGTACTTTTAAGTAGGGCAGGGAGACTCGGCAGTACGATATTGCCCAGCTATTCTCAGGAGCTGCCTGACCCAAGAGCTTGGGGCATATCTTCTTTGATAATCTCCTTTCAATGAAATTTTTGGTCCTATCAACATGGATGCATTTTCTATGCAGAAAATACAACTGCCAATATCCAAAGGGAAGACCAATAGGAAGTAGAAAAACTCCAGCGTTGTCTTAATTTCCTTCTCCCATCTCATGCCACTTTTCTTTTAAGCTGTGGTTAGTTATACAGGGTTCTCAGTGCCCACTGCCACAGACCACATCCTTGCCCCCATAGGTCCAAGGTCAGAAACCTGGGGAGTGAGGTGGGATCAGGCACCGCACTGGCCACCGCAGTGTCCAAGGAGGGAAGAAAGCTAGCTACCAAGTATAGAGCTGGGTCTTGCTCAGTGCATGGCAGAGCAAGTCGCTCTTGCTGGTCCAAATGCTAAACTTCAGCCAGATTAAATTTAAAAAGAAAAGTTAAGAAAAATTTTCTTCTCTTGGTTATGTTCCCTAATTTGTCAGCTTTATAATTGTACCTATATATGAAATAACTATATAAAGCACCTTAAAATAAGAATTCCCTCACCAAACTAGTCTATACAGAATTATGTAAAATATGTCTACCTATGAAAACATGGTCCTATATAAAGAGAAAAAAAGGATGTTGAAATAAAAAAACTTAAAGTTACTATTCTCAAGTAAAAGGCTAATTTGAAAATGATGCAATCACTGCTAATGCCAGAAATCTGCTTTTTGTCTGGTATTACACTTAAAATGAGTTTTACCCAAAGGCCCTAGCCAACCTCATTTATTTTCATCAAGAACTCATAGGATGGAGGGGAGAATTTCAAAATATGCATCAAACTTTATCTCACAATGGAGTGACTTAAAAATGAACTCAGTACTTTTTTATGTGTGATGTTTCACTGCCTCGTTGCTAGCTCTTATAAGTTAATTACCCAGTTTACTAAGGTGATTACTCCAGAGTTTTTCCAAGCAAAAAGTTAAGCTGATGAGTATTTCCAGGGTCATCATCCATTTCCCTTTTTGAAAGAAGGTTCTAAATATGCCCTTTTCCAGTCTTCAGGCACCTCATCAGTCCTCCACGAGTTCTCAAAAATGATATCTAGCGGTTCTGTGATGACTTCGGCCAATTCATTAAGTACTCTAGGATGCCAGCCATTGGGACCTGTGGATTTGAACATATCGGGGTTATTGAAGTTCTCCTTTACCCATTCTTCCCCTAGACCAGCATGGATTCCTTCTGCTCCTGTTTATAAGTGATACTTGTCCCTTTCTGGGCACCATGTGGACTTTTGAAAAACAGCTTTAAGTGCTGCTTTTTAGCTATCAATTTTCTCTTTGCATCTATTAAATAACAATGCATTTTATTCTTCTCAAGCCTGTTCTTCTCGTTTTGTTTTAAAGAGGTCAACCTCTCCTTTCCTTTATGTTTCTCGTAAGAAAGGAAAGTAACACAAAATTAAACAAATGTGTATCTTGTAAGTTTGCCTTCCTAAGTCACATCCTTCAGTACTAGAGCATCCTGAGTGATAGAGGAACAGTTAACACACTGTGAGGCATTCTAAAGGCTGCCTAGCTCATGCTCAGAGGATGCATATCTATTCAACTTGTCCCTACAAGTGCTCATTCAAAGTGCACCTTTCAAAATAAAACCGATGCGCAATCATCTTTCATTATAATCATTTGTATGCAGAAACAGTAACTTTTTCACATAGGCATTTGAAAAGGTTGGTTGTACAAGAGCTGGAAAGAGATTAATATGGATTTCTTACAAAGCACCCACCTAGCAGAATTTATTTGTTGCTGGGTGGTCATCTGTGCCAATGTGGATTGATATTACACTAATTATCTCCAAGCTCTGATGGGTGTTGACAGTTTTAACCCCTTCATTGTCACAATGATTCCTCTGAAACTGAAAGAGCAACAGATTACAGTTTCCTGCCCATCTGTCATGGCAATACCCTGTGCCCAGACTCCTTTGACAGATCTGGAATGGACAAAGGAGAGGACGAAAGAAGAGCACAAAGAAAGACAGGACACTTGAGTCTTTCTCAAGATTTCCGATATGACAGGCAAATGGAGCTGCTGGGAGTCAACTGTTTACTTGTTAGGTTTGTGTTTCTAACTGGAAAAGGTTGAATCAATTTTGCTTTCTTTTATTTTGTTTTTCTAGTCTCTCCTACCTCACCCCTAAGCTTGTATATCTCCTCCCAAAAAATTCATACTGTAGCCACTGTTAAAAAGACTCTTTTGAAAAATAATGCTACACATTTCTCTAGGGTATAACAATTTGTTTTAGCACATGCCAGTTTCATCCCTGCTCAAATAGCCACCTGCTGATGGCAATATGTTAACTAATATGTCATTATTAATTAGTCTGGGTAACATCCTGCTATTGCATCTACATTGAAAGAAAGTATTCCTATCCATGCTGAGAAGTACCTTTCTCCCGAGAATAAAGCTATTTTCAGGCCTTTTCTTTTTCTTAACAGTAAGTAATAATTGCTATTAATTAATATATTCAAATAGTCTCTCAGATAAACTATATCCAAGCTAATGTCTCTATTAAAATCCCTTCTGTTACAAACTGTGAGAAAGTAATGTTGAATCTATCTTGGCTAAACTAAGTTTTTTGGGAGGGAGTAAGGGGACGTTCACCTTAATATAAAGAAAGCAAAACTGTTCAGTTTTTAACACTCTAATAAGTGAATAAATGAAAAGACATTTCCCCCCCCCAAAAAAAATTCTAGTTACTCTATAATGCAAGGTAACTCATTCTTAATATCAGAAAACAAAACAAAACAGAAAAAGCCTCAGGTTACAGCATGAAGGGTTACTAAAACCTAGGAAAATGATAGCTAGGGAAAAGACAGGGTCACCAAAGGAGGAGGTAGCATCTCGAGGACATTGTTATTAAAACAAGAGATGCTAAGATGTCACCGTGTCAGATATAGCTCTGCCTAAGGCTAGGAAGGTGGCCTCACCTACCCCTAAAGGTCATTTTATTCTAGGAACCTATAACAATAAAGACGATACCTCGGGACAGGTTATCCTCTAGTAAAGCAAACACCCTCCATCCTGAACTCATCCGAAGATGAGGACCACGGGATCATTCACAAATCTAGCATCAAGCTCACAGCCTCTGAAACCTCTTGTGTCTTTGGTTCCACAAAAACGAATCACATTCATTAAACAAGCCCAGCCTTGCAAGTTGCTGTTATTCATTCTTTGGGGGAGAGGGTGGGAGGCAGACAAACAGGATTTCCGCAGTTGGGTCATGGAGAGTTTCAAGATGTGAGAGCAGGCGCAGAGAACAGTAATTAGCCCAGCACATGTTGCTTCATGATCCTAGGAACCATTGCTGATTTCCCTGCTCCATGCACACCTCCATGCTCTGGCAGCTGACATGCACTGTGACAGTCCCAATCCTGTGCCTCATAGACCCAGGGTCCACTCTTCAAGCGGAAGAGAAAGGAACACGTTTGTAAAATTGTGACCAGCTTTAAAAGATAACTGCTGAAAATAAGTCTTCTGAGCAAATTGGCATGGCCAGCCCGGCCTCATTTCACACAGCCCCTCCCCTCACCACACATTATCACATTTCATTTTCCCCTAAATTATCTGGCAGACTCCTGCAATGATAAAAAGCTCTTTCTTCACTCCACCAACAAAAATAATAACCTGCTTATATGTGTTTATAGTCTTCTTTGGGTACATCAATAGTACTACGTTGACTTAAAAATCATGAAAGGAATGGTCTCAAATCTGGTTCTTTCTCAAATTTCATGAAAGCCAACTTCTGGAACAACAAATAACAAGTTATAGTTTTGGTTCTATTAATGCTCGTGACATTTGCTATTTTTATAGATAGAATTTGTAAGAAACGGGTTTGTTTGTAATGATCCAAATGATTATCTTCCTATTGCTAGGAAAATGTTACTAAAAGGTTTATATCCTGTTGGTCTAAAGGCAGGTTGTTATAACCTGCCTTTGAGACCACTGTCAATAAGAGAATTCTTACCTTAGGTCACACAAACCTAATTCTTGGGCTAAACTGTGACTTTTATTTGTTCTAGGCTATTATGGAGGGAAGCCTCTCATATTTGGCAATTCTAATCTATGTTAGATTTACAATCTGAGAAACATGGAGGGGCAGGGAAAAAATTATTTAATGAATAAAGAAACTATTATCCTATGGCTAAAAATTAAGATTTATGAGATTACATTTTTTTTTCTCAGTTGATTATTCTGATTTTTAACTGATTTCAAGTCTGTTATTCTTTTTTAGCTTGTGATTCCACACCACCATCACCCCGCATTAATGAGGGCAATCAGAATTATATGCAGACTAACCCATTTAGAAGTTATTTCTCTATTGTGATATTATTCTAAGGCAGTAGCTCCACTGTAGAGATATAGCCAATTGATATAAATTCCCCACATTCGGTTGCTGAGATAAAAAAAAATGAAACTGGTGACTGTACATTAATAGTCCATTTCTTTACAATTGAGGGGTGACTTTCTCATGGGAAAAATTAATTAGGAATGATGGTATGACTGTTGTCTTCTCTACTCCTGGATGGCAAAGGGGGCACAAAGCTGAACCTTTGGGCAGTTAGTGACAGGACACAAGATTTTTTCACCTCATGACTTTCTGAAGCTAAGCTTACCAACATTCAGCCATGTCATACTGCCTATCATTATAGGACCAAGGAAGGCTGGGTATTTGCTTAGAGAGAGGGGGCTTAAATACAGCCTCATTTTAACTGTAAACTTCACGGGCAGGAACCACATTTTACACTTCTTTATATCTCCTTCAGGAACATTATATATAATGTCCCACGCTGCTACTGTTGGTTGATTGAATCGTTCACACTATAATTTTTACATATAATTTCTCAGTAAACTAAGATCCTATGGGGAAATTTTCGTCTCGGGAGTCAGACAGGAGTGTATCTCCCTTTGCGTATCTGTACAACAGAGAAAAAAATATCGATAGCTATTCACTAAACCTGTATGTATCTTAATAGTCATCTTTCAGTTCCTTGAAAGGCTCCTAAGGGTCTTCCTTTTTTTTTTCTTTTTTTTTACTTTAAACACAAATACCCAAATGCTATATACACTGTTGTATACAACTTTCGTTTCTTCATCCATGGTGTGTCCATTGATTAGTGTTGATTTACTACCTAGTTCCTGGAACAAACTAAGTGGGTTTTAATTGTACTGGTTCTCAATATCTCCTCGGCCCCCATGGTTTTGTAACCTTCACTCAGGGCTTACCTGCATGTTCTCAGCAAATGCAATATATACTGGAGAGGCTGGAAATTTTCCTACCTGCTTATTATTCAGAAAATGCTCAGAAACAAATTCAGGGGTTAAAAGATAAAAGCGCCTTTGTTTATGCTCTCCTCAGGGCACTAACAGATTTTATAATTTTTCCAACTGAATAGCTATGTAAATCCCGATTTCCTAAAAGCATTTGGTTATACTCCTCACTGAATATTCTGAACGTGCTAAATTCCCACACAGGGGTTATGATCTGCAAGGGGTAACAAGCTCCTGGCGATGATGGTTCATAGGCCCAGGACCCCCTCACCGGCTAGAGTTCCAGCCTTGCTTGTCTCTACCAGGAAGAAATGATCAGGATTTAACTGTTGGGGATTCTGGGTTGTTCTTGCAATAATTTTATAATTAACAGCTTCTCGCAACATAAGGCTGGGGCTAAGTCACTACACTTTCAAGAAGCTTCAAGTACAGTTAAGGAGGCAAAATGGCAGCTAAAGGAGGCAGTGCCTTCAAGAACAAAGCGGGGAGGGGATTTGGGCAAGTTTATAAGCTGAATGGAAGGGGACATACTAAATGCAAGAAACCAAGGGGATCATAATGGACCACAATTACTACGTGGGCCAAGAGTAGATAACCAGGGCAGGTATTCGTCTTAGAGGGGAGAGGGGTAATTCCTCCTCAGAAAGAAAGAGAGGGAAAGAAGAACAGATGGACAACAATACCCACACATTTTGAAGTGAATTAGAGTGACGGAGGGAGCTCATGCCCAGTGGACTTCTGGTTCTCGGTAATGACCAAGCCAAGACGATTTGAAGAAGTGGGGTGTGAGAGGCACAGGTAAAGGAGTATGGGGGGAGTCTGAAATAGCCACCAGGGAAA